CAACATCCTTGAAACTCTATTCAAAACAATTAGAAGAAAGAATTAAAGACAAATGAGTAGGAAAAGAGGAACTCAAACTATCACTATTTGCTAATGACATGCTTCTATATTTAGAAAATCCAAAAAAATTCACCTGAAAACTTTCTTGACTAATAAATTAATTCAGCAAAATAAACACCCACAAACCAGATGCATTTCTATACTTTAACAATGAATCCACTTTAAAAAAAAATCAGGAAAACCACCCCATTAACAATGGCCTCAAAAAAAAAAAGAATAAAACAAAATACTTGGGAATCAATCTAAAAAAGAGTTAAAATACCTCTACAATGAGAATTACAGAACACTAAAGATGCAGATTGAAGATCTTAGAAGATGTAAAGATGTTCCAGGCATTTGGATAGGCAGAATGATCATAGTCAAAACAGCCGTATTAACAAAGTAGTTATACAGATTCAATGCAATTCCTTTTAAACTTCCAATGACATTCTTCATAAAACTAGAAAAAGCAACCATTAACTTAATTTGAAAAAAATAGGAGAGCCACAATAGCCAAAGCAATTCTCAATAAAATGAGTGAATCAGTAAGCATCACAATACTAGACCTAAAACTATACTCCAGAGAAATAGTTTAAAAAGGTACCAAGAGACATATAGACCAATCTCCTACTAGAAAAAGATGCCAAAAACACAAATTGGAGAAAAGATAGCCTCTTCAACAATTGGTGCTGGGAAAACTGGAAATCCACATGTAGAAAGATAAAATTAAACCTCTATCTCTCACTGTGCTCAAAAATAAACTCAAAGTAGATCAAAGACTTAGACATGAGAATGGAAACCCTGTGACTAAAAGAAAAATAAAAGAAGGTCCACATCCTCATCATGTTAGCTTAGGACCTGACTTCTTGAACAAGATTCCTAAAGCATAAACAATACAATTAGGAATTGATAAATGGGATGGATTCAAAGAAAGAAGCTTATTCTTTACAAAGGAAAAAAATCTATAACATGAAGAGAGAGCTTACAGAATGAGAAAATAAGTCTTTACCACCACACATCAAATAGAGTAGTAATCTCCAAGATATATAAAGAACTCAAAAAACAATGCCAAAAAAAGATACATAACCCATCAATAAATGGACTAAGAAACTGAACAGACACTTCACAGAAGAAGAAATATAATTGATCAACAAACACCTAAAACAGACCATCATCTTTAGCAATTATAGAAATGAAAATCAAAGCTATTTCCATATTTAATTTCACTGCAGTCACAGTGGCAATTATCAAGAATACAAGCAATATTCTTTTATGAGGATGGGGGAGAAAAGATATACATTGCTGGTGGCCACATCAATGTAGAGTAGGTCAATTCACAATAGCTAAAGTATGGAAACAACCTAGGTACCCTTCAACAGATGAATGGATAAATAAAATATGATATATATGTTTGTGTGTGTGTGTGTGTGGAATATTACTCAACCCTAAAAAGAATAAAGTTATGCCACTTGCCAGCAAATGGATGGAACTTGAGAATACCATGCTAAGCTACATAAACCAATAGCAAACTTCCAAAGGCTGAATATTTTATCTCATGTGCAGATGCTAATTCACAATGGAAGGCACTAGGGAAGAATAAATGCACTTTGGATTAGAGAGAGGGAAGTGAAGGGAGGGAAAGAGGTATGAGGTTTTGAAGGATAATGAAATGAATCAGATATTACTACCCTGCATGCTTATACAATTACATGACTGGTGCAATTCTATATCATGTACAACAAGAAAAATGTGAAGTTATACTTCATTTAAATATGCTGTGTCAATTATACTGTTATGTATAGCTAATTGTAACAAATGCAAAAAAGATACAATCAAACAAATTACAAACTATAA